ATATTTAAATTGACGACGTCTTCTTCTTACATAAATTTTAAATTTTTTATTACGTTTTGAAGATTTTATATAATTTTTTGATTTATAATAATTATAAATATATTTTGAATTATTTTGAGAAGCTATATAAGTACGATGATTATATATATAAGTAAATTTATTAATTATAGAATTTGCTTTTAATTTATCAATACTTCTATATTTACCAATATTATTATAATCTTTATTATTCAAAATAAAAGTATAAAATTTAATTTTAGATTTTTTATGATTATTTTTAATTTTAAAGTTATGTTTAATATTAGGTTGTAATTTAATATTAATATCATTTTTATAATTTCGATATAAATTAAATTTATTTATTTTAGTATAATTTATTGAATTATATAATTTATTTAATTTACGTACATTAAAATTAATAAATAAATCAATAAAAAATAAATTATCATTGAATTTCATATTAGAATCAATAATATTTAAGTTAGATATATAATTATTTTTAGATTTATTTTGTAAAACATTTTTATTATTTCTATATAAATATTTTTTAATACGTTTAAAACGATAATATTTTTCACGTATAAATAATTGTTTATAAATAGATTTAATATTAGTATTTTTATAAGAATAAGTTATTAAATATTTACGAATATTACTTGGTAAATTCAATTTAGGTTTATTATAAGATATATAAAAACTAGTTCTTTTTTCGAAAGGTTCTAATATAAGTCTATTTTTACGAAAAATAAATAAAGAATAATTTACAAAACGATATTCATTATGTTTTAAATTATTTTTATATAAAATATTAAATAAATTATGATTTAAATTTAAATTTAATATATCTTTTTTATAATATTTGATTAAATTTGTCATCAAATAGATATTTTTTATATTAAAATCATAATTTAAATTTTTAAATCTACGATTTTTTAATAATATATCATATTTTTGTTGTAAATCATTTAATATATCTAAATAATCATGTTTATTTAAATTTAATTTTTTAATTAAAGATAATAATACATTAAAATCATTACGAACTTTATATTTTTCAGTTAATGAAGTTTTTATGATATTATAAAAAACATATTTATAAATATCACTTGAAACAGAATAATATAAACGTTTATTTTTTAAATATCTAACATTAGCTCTATAATAATTATATAAATTTCTTTTATTATAACGTGATATTTTTGTATTTCTAAAATTAAATACAAGTCTATTATATATAAAATGTTTAGAATAATAAGGTCTATCAACACCTATTTTACTAATATTATAATATTTATAACTAAAAGAAGTAGAAAGTTTATTACAAATATAATGACGTTTTCTAAATTTAGCTCTACAGTCATTCCAATAATATCTATGAAATTTTAATTTAAAATCTTCAGAGTAAATAAAATTTAAAAAATCTTTATATTTATTTTTTGAAATATAATATTCTTTTCTTCTTCTATTAGCTAAAATTTTAGAAGTATTACGTTTAATAGATTTATATTTAATACGTCTATATTTTTGAATTGAATTATTAATATTATTATTATTAAAATTAGAAATATAAAAATAATTTAATTTATTTTTTAATTGTATTATTTTAAATATTTTATTACTTAAAATAATTTTATAATTATAATTATTAATAGAAAAATTATTTGATAAATTTAAAGTATAACTATTAATATAATAATTTTTAAGTAAATAAATATAAAATTTAAAAACTAAATTATAATAATATTTAAAATATTGATTAACTAATGTTGAATTATTTATTTCAATATTATTATTTTTATATAAACTTAAATTTATATTTTCAAAATTTTTAAAACTTACTAAATTAGATTGAAGTAATTTTAAATAAGTATATTTATAATTAAAAGTACGTTTTAATAATAAATTTCTAAAAAAATAACTAGTATATTTTTTTTTAAAAACTTTAAACAATATTTTAAGTTCATAATTAGTTAAAAAATATTTATTATATCGTTTTTTTATAATTTTATGTTTTTTATCTAAAAATAAATAATATCTGAAAACATAATCAAAAAATTTAAAATAATTATTTAATTTATAATTTTTTTTATAAAAATTATTTTTAAAATTACGTTTTCTAAGTTTTAATTCATTATTATGAAATACTTTTTTGAAATGTCTTTGATTTAATGCAAATTTTTTATTACGATAAGATGTACAATAAATACGTTTTAAAAAATTTTGATAATTAATAACATAATAATTTTTATTATTTAAAAAAATAAAACTAAGAGTTTTATAATCAATTTCTAAATTTCTTAAATAATAAAGATTTTTAATTTTATTAAAATCAATTTTATTATAAATAAAATTAAAAAATGTTTTATTAATTTCAACTTTATCATTATCTTTTAATAAATAATTAAAAGAAGTTATAACTTTACCGTTAACTAAAATAAAACCTTTTACAATATAAAAACGAGCTGCATATAAACTTTCAGCAAAATGTGCTTTATAAATATTAAAATCTAAACGTTTTTCAAAATTAAAATAATTTTTAGTTAATATATTTTTTTTAAAATTATATTCTTTATAATTAACTAAATATTTTTTTAAAATTTGTTTATTCATAAATTTAAAAGAATATAAACGTTCTAATTTTAATTTTTTATAATGACAAATATAAAAAGCATTTCCCATATAATGTCTTCTTAATTTTTTATTATTTAAATCTGTCCATTTTTGTTTTGAGAATTTATTTTTTAAAATTAAATTATTTCTCCATAATGTTATATTTTTATAACGAAATATTACTTTATATTTAGGTGATTTCATCTAACTAACAAGATACTATATTTAATAAAAAACTAACTGACATATTCAAATAATCTAAAATGAAAGTAGGATAAATACCTATAATAAAAACTAAAACTAAAATTAATAAAAACATAACAAATTCACGTTTATTTAAATCTTGATATAAACCTATAAAGTTTACTTGTATATTACCATAACAAACTCTATTATATAACCATAAAGAGTAAATACTACCAAACATCATACTTAAAATTGCAAAAACAGCAATAGTAGTATTTGTATTAAAAATACCTAAAAAAATTAAGAATTCACCTACAAAACTACTTGTAGTAGGTAAAGCAATATTTGCTAAAGTAAACATTAAGAAAATTACTGCAAATATAGGCATAGTTTGAACTAAACCACTATAATATTTAATAAGACGAGTATGATAACGTTCATATAAAATACCTACAGCTAAGAATAAAGCACCAGATACTAAACCATGACTGAACATTTGTAATAAAGAACCTTCTAAACCATAGATTTTATTAGTATATAAACCAATCATAATTAAATTCATGTGAGCAATAGAAGCATAAGCAACAATACGTTTTAAATCAGTTTGACGTACTGCAACTAATGAACTATAAATTAAACCTACAACAGCTAAAGTATAAACAAAAGGAGTATAGTAGAAGTTTGCAAAAGTAAATAAAGGTAAAGAAAAACGTAAAAAACCGTATGTACCTAATTTTAATAAAATACCAGCTAAGATAACAGAACCTGGAGTTGGAGCTTCTACATGAGCTTCTGGTAACCAAATATAGAATGGAACCATTGGTACTTTAACAGCAAAAGATACAAAGAAAGCAATCCATAAAATTTTTTGAATGAAAGGTTCAAAGTTATAAGTTAATAATACAATATAATTAGAGGTACCTGCATAATAATATATAAATAAAATAGCTAATAACATTAAAACGGAACCTACAAAAGTATAAATAAAGAACATATAAGATGCTAAAATTTTACGTTCTCTAGAACCAAATAAACCTAAAATTAAATACATAGGAATCAATACACTTTCAAAGAATACATAGAAGAATACAATATCTAAACAAGAAAATACTAAAAGTAATATAGATTCCATAATTAAGAAATTTATATAAAAAAATTTAAAATTAAATTTTATATAATTATAACTAGATAAAATACAAATAGGAAATAAGAAAGTAGTTAATAAAATGAAGAATAAAGAAATACCATCAATACCTATTATAAAATTTAAATTAAAAAAACTTAACCAATTTATTTCATATAAACCTTGAAAAAAAATTGTAGATTTATCAAATAAAAATAATAAACCTAAAGATATAAAAAAAGTAATAGAAGTACTATAAATAGAAATAGTACGAATTAAGTTGTTGTTATTATTATTCACAAAAAGTAAAAAAAAAGAAGTTAATAAAGGAATTAAAATTATAGCTAATAAAATAATATACATTTTCTTAATAATTATTGTTTTTTAGAAATTTGTTGAAATAAAAATATAAAATTACTCATATAATTATCTAAATAATTAACTAATCCATATATAGAATTAATATAAGTATTTAAATTTTTTAAAGAATAATAATTATTTTGTATTTTACAAAATAATATATTAGTTTGTAATTTAGAAATTATTAAATATAAAGTTTGTAAATCATTAGTACAAAAAATTACTGTTGAATTTTTTAAATTAGAATTAAAATATGTTAAATTATCAATACATTTAAATTTTTTTAAGAAAATACATTTAACATTAGGATTTAACAAAATTTCATGTTTATATAAATTCAAATTTAAACTAGTATTATCACAAAATAACATATATTTATAATTTTTAAAATATTGATTAAATTTTAAAATATAATTATATTTACGTACAATTTTTAAATTATCTATCAATATCACCGAAAACAATATCTAAACTACCAATAACAGTGGTAACATCTGCTATTAAATGACCTCTTGTTAAATAATCTAAACTTTGTAAATGAATAAAACCAGAAGATTTTAAATGGCATCTATAAGGTTTATTAGAACCATCAGATACTAAATAAACACCAAATTCACCTTTAGGAGCTTCAATAGAACAATATACTTCATTAGGTTCAACTTTAAAACCTTCACTAAATATTTTAAAATGATCAATTAATGCTTCCATAGATTGTTTAATTTGAACTTTAGATGGAATACTAATTTTATAATTATCAGATTTAATAGGACCTTCAGAAATTTGATTAATACATTGATTAATAATACGAACACTTTGTCTCATTTCTTCAATACGAATAATAAATCTATCGAAACAATCACCATTAGTACCTACAGGAATATCAAATTGAACTTTATCATAAGCATCATAAGGGAAAGTTTTTCTTAAATCCCATTTAACACCAGTAGAACGTAATAATACACCAGTTAAATTTAAATCTAAAGCAGCTTGTTTAGTAATAACACCAATATCAACTAAACGTTCACGCCAAATACGATTATTAGTTAATAATTCTTCCATATCATCTAATCTATCATTAAATTCATTACAGAAAATATATAAATCGTTTAATAAACCTAAAGGTATATCTTGTCTAACACCACCTGGTCTAAAATAATTTGCATGCATTCTAGCACCAGTAGCACGTTCATAAAATTCTAATAATTTTTCACGTTCTTCAAATAACCAAATAATAACAGTGGTAGAACCAATATCCAAAGCATGAGAACCTAAACCAATTAAATGATTAATTATTCTTGTAATTTCAGCAAAAATAACACGTATATATTGAGCTCTTAAAGGAACTTTGCATTGTAATAATTTTTCAACAGCTAATACATAGCAATGTTCATTTTCAAGCATAGCAATATAATCTAATCTATCAAAATAAGGTAATGCTTGTAAATATGTTTTATTTTCTATTAATTTTTCAGTACCTCTATGTAAAAAACCAATATGAGGATCTGCTTTTTGAACAATTTCACCTCTTAATTCTAAAATTAATCTTAAAACACCATGTGTTGCTGGGTGTTGTGGACCAAAATTTAAAGTAAAACTTTTTAATTGTCTACGTCTTAACATTTTATATATTTTTAGATAATTTTACAATTTTTGTTTGAATTGAAAGTTTTGATGCTCCATAATTTAAAGCTTTTAATGCTAAATTTTCATTAGTAGAACTAATTTCAAATAAAATTTTGCCAGGTTTAACTAAACAAACCCAATATTTAATATCACCTTTTCCTTTACCCATTCTTGAATCTATATTTTTTGAAGTAACAGATACATCTGGAAAAACATTTATATAAACTTTTGCTTGTTTTTTAAGCATACGATTTATAGCCATATAAATAGTTTCAATTTGTTTTGAAGTTAAACGAGTATAATCTAAAGCTTTTAAACCATAAACACCTTTTGTCAAAACTTTTGAATTATAATTTAAACCATGTAATCTATTTTTTTTAATTTTATAATTTTTAAATTTTCTAGGTTTTAATAACATTTTTAATTATTTATTATTTATAATTAACCCAAATTTTTATACTACTTGAACCTGTACTTTTAATTAAATGTAAACATTGATAATCTTTATTATGATCAATTCTGTTTAAATTTAATTCACCTAAATTAAAAAGAAAAACACGTTTTCTTTTTGTTAAAAAAAAACGACCTTTAACTTTTATACGAATTCCTTTTAATTTACAATTATCATTTTTTAAATATCTAGTCAAATATTCACGCATTAAATTAAAATTATTATAAAATAAAAAATTATAATTTTTAGTTGCATTATTAACATAATTTAATTCAAAATATAAAACATTTAATAAACTAGATACTGTTATTTTGTTTAAAAATTTATCATTAAAACATAAATTATATAATAAAAAATGAATAGTTTTATAATATTTTAATTTATAAAAATAATGTTGAAGTTTATATCTTTTTTTATTTCGTCTAAATTTATTATAATTTTTATGTTTATTTTTTTTTAATTTTTTTTCAGTTTTTACTTCAGTATATTTATTTAAAGTCATAACTACATTTTTATTATAATTTTTTACTTTAAATAAATGTAAATTTCTTTTTTTTCCAAATTTTTGAAGTTTATTACTAAGAGATTTATTTCTTTTTAAAAAATAACGATTTGTAAGAAATTTTTTTTTTGAATTATAAATAGTATTTATATTTTTAAAGTAAACATAAACATTATAATCTTTATGTTTTAAAGAATATAATAATTTAATTATATCTATTTTTTTTTGTTGTAAAATTTCATTATATTTATAATAAATATAAATTATATTAATATATTGTTTATTATTAAAATTAGTGCTTTCAATTATATTTTTTTTTAAATATTTAAAATTACAAAAAAAATATACGAAAATTTTAAATTTTGAAAAATATTTATATATAATTATTTTATCTACAAATAAAAATTGAAAATTCACATTATGTTTAAAAACTATATTTACGATTTCTCTTATTTGTAAATCTTCATTTAATAAATATTTATTTTTATTACTATTTTTATTAAACCATTTAGAATTATTATATATTACATTATTAAATAAAATAGGACTTACTTTTTGACTCATTTTTATTTTTTAACTTTTTTTGTTTTTGCAACTTTTTTAACTTTATGTTTACAAGTTTTACGAGTAAATACATATTGACCTAATCTTGTACCTACCATTTCATCTGTAATTTTCACTTTTTTAAAATTAGATAAACCATAATGAACATATATAATTTTATCAACAAATTCAGGAATAATGATGGTATCTCGATCTTTTGTTTCTAATTTTTTTTTATTTTGTAAAATTTGAGTATATAAATCTATATTTAAATTTTTTAAATTAATATTCATGTTTTTTATTTTTTACAGTTTTACGACCTTTTGTAATTAAACCCCAAGGAGTAACAGATACACGACCTCCAGAAGCTTTACCTTCACCTCCACCATGTGGATGATCAATAGGATTCATAGCAACACCTCTAACTACTGGACGTTTATTCAAATTACGAGACATACCAGCTTTTCTCAAATTTAATAATGAATGATATGGATTAGATAATTTTCCAATAGTAGCAATACATACTAATGGTATTTTTTTTATACGTAAATTAGATAATTTAACATATGCAAAACCATTAATTTCAGTATCTTTTTTTAAAATAAATGCAGAATTTCCAGCAGATCTAACTAAAGAACCACCTCTATTTTGTTTTAATTCAATATTATGTATTGGAACATTCAAAGGAATATTATATAAAGGCATACTATAACCTACTTTTATATCTTTATTTTTTAATATATCATTAATAGAGTAATTATAAACAGTATCTCCAATTTTTAAATTTTGAGGAGCTAAAATATAATAATATCTATTATTAACAAAATTAAACATTAAAGCAATATAACAAGATCTATTTGGATCATATTGAATTTTTACAACTTTACCTTGTTTATTTACATGTTTAAAATCTATAAATCTATAAAGATTTTTATTTCCACCACCTTTATGATATACTGTTATTTTTCCTCTAAAATTTTTACCACTTTTTTTATTTAAACCTTTTTTTAAATAATTATATTTTTTAGAAAATAACATATTAGTTTTATAAATCTTTCTTTATATTACTTTATATAAATAGTCAGAATGTATATTAATAATAATATTCTAAATTACAAAAATAAAAAATTAATTTTAGTTTTAAAAAAAGTGTATGGATTAAATAAACAACAAAATAAATATATTTTAAAAAATCTTGGAATTCATCCTGAAATAAATACAAATAATATTTCAAAAGAAATATTAAAATCTATTGATGAATTTGTTACAAAAAATTATTTAATAAATAATGATTTAAAATTTAAAACTACAAATAATATTAAATCAAAACATTTATTAAATACTTATAAAGGATATAGACACAAAAATAAATTACCAATACATGGTCAAAATACACATTCTAATGGTAAAACTGCTAAAAAATTAAATTCTTAATAAATTAACTATATAAATATAAAGCCTTCTTATATTAAATATTAAGTGTACGAGGAATTGAACCCCGAATCCATCGATTAAAAGTCGATTGCTTTATCCAATTAAGCTATACACTCTTTATTATGATTTCGAACAGATTCGAACTGTTGACATGGAAAAACCATTTTGGATTTACAGTCCAACGCTTTAGACCAACTGAGCTACGAAATCTTTTTTTATAAATTTTACAAAAAATTAGTACTTTTTAGCAATAAATATATACACAAAGCCTATTAAAGTAATTATCTCTTACTTTTTTTTTAGAAAATACGAAAAAAAGCTTCATACTTATATGTATTCAGTATTTATCTTTTATTGATTTAGCTACTAAGCAATACTTATTTAAAATAAATAACTTATATACCATTGATCAATCTAATTCGGTCCTCTCGTACTAGAATTATTATTTTCATCTTTTCTTTATTATATGGCAGATAGGGACAAAACTGTCTCACGACGTTTTAAACCCAGCTCACGTACCACTTTAATTGGCGAACAGCCAAACCCTTAGAACCTTCTTCAGCTCTAGGATGTGATGAGCCGACGTCGAGGTGCCAAACAATTCCGTCGATATGAACTCTAGAGAATTATCAGCCTGTTACCCCCGGCGTACCTTTTATCCATTGATCGATAACCTTTCCACAAAGAATTACCGGGTCATTATGATCAACTTTCGTTTCTGTTTGATTTGTCAATCTTACAGTCAAGCAAATTTTAGCCATTATACATAAATAATTATTACAACAATAATTATTAATTTACCTTTATATTTCTCCGTTACCTTTTAGGAGAAAACCACCCCAGTTAAACTACCATTCTTTTATATGTCTTTTAATCTTTCATAATTAAAGTTAGCTATTAATAATAAAACGAGTGGTATTTCACTATTGTTTAAAACTAAATTTAAACTCCCACTTATACTACACAATTTTATAATAATAATCAATAAAAGATTGTAGTAAAGGTGCACGGGGTCTTTCCGTCTAACCATATATAATTCGCATCTTCACGAATATTTCAATTTCATAAAGTTCATAGTGGAGACAGTGGGGAAGTCGTTACACCATTCATGCACGTCAATAATTAGTTGACAAGGAATTTCGCTACCTTAGGACCATCAGAGTTATGGCCGCCGATTACTGTTACTTATATTAAAAAAAATTCTTTTTAAATTTTGCAATACAGTTCCTGGCAGGTGTCAGACCTTATACATCATCTTACGATTTAGCAAAGTCCTGTGTTTTTATTAAACAGTCGCTACCCCCTTTTATTTTAATTTTATTAATTCAAAATACATTAATAAAAACCTTTTCTTCCGAAGTTACAAGGTTAATTTGCCGAGTTCCTTCACTATGATTCTCTTTATCGTCTTAGTATACTCTACCCATTTACCTGTGTTGGTTTTTAGTACGGTTTTTTTCTTAAAATATTTTTAATTTTATTATTTATAGTATTTATATAAAAAATAAAAGTCTTTTAAGAATAATACTCATCAAATAAAGTTTTCACTTTCTTCTTAGAGGCCGTATTACTTAATTTTGTTTAACAATTATATATTAAAAACCTTAAACTTTCGACGATAATATTTAATTACCTATTTAATATTATTTATATTACTTATACCAGTATTATCACTTCTGATACATTAATAAATTTTTCAATTTATCTTAAAGCATACAGAACGTTCTGTTACCATTTAAATCTATAATTTAAATTTGCTATTTCGGTAGATTTCTTCAAATCTCTCTACATCGTCAGAATTCTTAAATTAAACCAATGAGCTTTTACGCTTTCTTTAAAGAATGGCTGCTTCCGAACCTAACTCTTAGTTATTATCATTTAAAAACTCTTTTTTTATGAGAAAACAAATAATTTAAAGACCTTAATAAACAATCTGGGCTGTTTCCCTCTCGACTTACAACCTTAGCATCATAAGTCCGATTATTAAAATATTTTTTAGTATTCGAAGTTTCCTTAAAATTGGTAAAGCTTTATGGGCAACCCTCTTTTATCGATATCTCTACCCCTAAAAAATAAATTTTAACACTTTACGTAAATAGATTTCACAGAAAACCAGCTATCTCCGAGTTTGATTAGCCTTTCACCCCTAATCACAAATCATCCCAGCCTTATGCAACAGGCACGAGTTCAGTCCTCAAAAATAAATTAATATTTTTTCAACTTGTTCATAATTAGATCACCCGGTTTCTGGTCTTATTTGTATAACTTAAAATATTCTATTCAAATTCGCTTTCACTAAGTCTACATTTTTCAATTTAAACTTGCTATATAAATAAACTTACTGGTCCATTATACAAAAGGTACATTGTCACTTTTTAAAAAAGCTCCAATTGTTAAAAGCATTAGATTTCAAGTTCTATTTCAATTTCGTAAATTCTATTTCACCTTTCCTTTACAGTACTAGTTCACTATCGATTATTTATTATATTTAGGCTTAAAGGGTGGTTCCCTTGTATTCAAACAAAATTACACCTATTTCGTTTTACTCAATTATTAAAAATAATAAATTGTATATACAGGAATTTATAACCTTCTTTGTATTTATATACTCTTTAATATTTTTTTAATAACCCAAATCCGCATTCGCTCGCCACTACTAACGGAATTTCGTTTGATATTTTATCTTTAGTTACTTAGATGTTTCAGTTCACTAAATTTTACATATTCATTCAGAAAAAGTTTTCTTCTAAGGAAATTTATAAATCACAATTTTTAATTCATTATAAATTTTCGATAAATAACGTCCTCCTAATTAATAAATATCTAGGTATCCATCTAATGCTCTTTTATATATTTATAAAAAAAAATTTCAAAGTTAGGAATCGAACCTAAATAACAAATTCATGAGACTTGATTAGTAACCATACCTTTGAACTCTTTTATACAGAATTTTTTTACAAATTAAAAATTTTAATTAATTATAAAATATATAATTCCAACCGCATGTTCCCATACGGTTACCTTGTTACGACTTCATTAAAATTATAAATTTTAATCTAATAAAATCTACCTAAAATAAAATTTTGTAAAAATATATTTTACAAAAATATATATATAAATAAACAGTATTTTAACTAAAACTTACTTCTTTAATGTGACGGGCGGTGTGTACAGAGCTTATAAACAAATAAAATTAAAAATTTAATTTTATTTAACAATTCACCGTAACATACTGATTTACGATTACTTACGATTCCAGCTTCATATAGATGAGTTTCAATCTATAATCTGTATTACATTTTCTTTTGAAGATTTGCTCCTATTTTCATAATTGCGTCTTTTTGTAGAAAATATTGTAGCACATGTGTAGCCCAATTTATAAGGGTCATAACGATCTATCTTCATCCTTTGCATATTTTTTGAATAAATTATATTCAAATTTATTTTAAGAGTACTTATTTAATGATTAAAAATTAACAAGAATTAACCTTTAATACTTTTAAATAATAGCAACTTAAAGCAAGGGTTAAACTTATATCTTAACTTCAAAATAAAAGCTGACGACGACCATGCAACACCTGTTTTATAATAAAAAAAATTATAAACTGTCAAAAATTGGTAAGATTCCACGCGGACTATCGGATTAAACCACATGCTCCACCGTACGTATAAGCTCCCGTCAATTCCTTTGAGTTTCAACCTTGCGGTTTTACTCCCCAGGCGAAATATTTAACGTGTTAACTTTTTATATTAAATGAAAATATTCATTAAAAATTAATATAATTTTTTACAAAAAATATTATAAAAAATCTATATATAATTTAAAAAATAAATATAATTTATTAATATTTAATATTCATTGTTTATAGTATGGACTACCAGGGTACCTAATCCTGTTTGCTACCCATACTTTCGTCTATCAATGTCAGTATTTTAATAGATTATTGTTTTCACTAAATGGCATTCTTCCTAATATAAACGGTTGTCGCACCTCCTTTAGAAATTCTATAATCCTTTAATATACTCAAATTTTTTAATATTAAAAAAATATTAGAGTTAAGCTCTAATTTTTAATTTTTAATTGAAAAAATCATCTTAAGACTCTTTACGCCCAGTAAAGACGAATAATGCTCGTTCCCTCTGTATTACCGCGGCTGCTGGCACAGAGTTTGCCAGAACTATTCCTTTGACAAATCATTATTTCATCAAATTATAAGTTTTACAACGATAAAGCCTTCATCACTTATGTAGTATTGCTGGATCAAACTTTCGTTTATTGTCCAATATTCCCCACTGCTGACTCATAAAGAGTTCGGGCTTTATTTCAATCCCGATGTGGTTGATCATTCTCACAAACCAACTAAAAATCTTTGGCTTGGTAAGCTTTTACCTTACCAACTACCTAATCTTATATAAATAAATATCTAAAAACGAAAAAAATAAAAAAAATTATTTTTTTCTTTTGAATATTATTGATTAAATAAAATTTTTACAACAATTTTTAGGTAATTTATTTATAATTTACTCACCTTTACGCTATAAATATTTATAAAATATTTAATCATAAATATTAAATAAATATCTATTAAACTTGCATGTGTTAAAGCATACTACTAGCATTCATTCGGAGCTAGGATCAAACTCTTAAGAATTTAAGTTATATAAACTATATATAACTTCATTAATAATAAAATCTCTTTTAAACTATATTAATATGAAATAAATATTTTCATATTAAATTAATGTACTAAAAATACAGCATTAGATACATCACGAGAAATTTGTTGATAAACTAATTGATATCTACGTATTACTCTAGTAGATTCTTTACTTAATAAGATAGCACTTATCATACCTATTAATAATACGAAACCTGCTAATATAAAATAAAAATAATAATTTGTAAAAATAACTTGACCTAACATTTTAATATTATCAACATAATATAATTTAGAGAACCAATCATTATATACTAAATCATTATTTAAGAAAACATTGAAAATATCAGCATTTAATAATACATTATAAACAATTAAACAACAAATTATAATATTAATAAAAGATATAAATTTAGTTGTATTTTTTTCATTTATTTTAATTTTTAACATCATAACTACGAATAAAAATAAAATAGTAATTGCACCAATATAAATTAAAATAAACATTAAAGCTAAATAATCAATATTTAACAAAAATAAAATACACATAGAACTAAAAAAAGCTAATATTAAAAATAATACTGCATAAACAGCATTATTTACAGATATTGTCATAAAAACAGAAATTATAATTATACTTGCAAAAATATTAAAATATAAATTTGACATGTGTAACTAATTTTTATAAAATCAGAAAGGTATGAATCGAACATACTACATTTGTACCCAAAACAAAGACGTTAACCATTTACGTTACATTCTGTAATAAAAATATTTATAAATTAATGAGAATAGGATTCGAACCTATGTTTTATAGATTATGATTCTACTGTTATACCACTTAACTATCTCACTTTTATTATTTATTCCCATTCAAGGGCACCTTTTTTATATTCATAAACAAAACCTAAGGTTAAAATAATTAAAAAAACAACCATAGCAAAATAACCTACAAAAGAAATTGCAGATAATGAAACTGCCCAAGGATATAAAAAAGAAATTTCTAAATCAAACATTAAAAATAAAATAGCAACTAAATAAAAATGAATTTCAAAAGTATTACGAGCATCTTCGAATGGAGTAAAACCACATTCATAAGCAGACAATTTGTTAGAATCGTTAGCACGTATACCAAAAATATAGGAAATTAAGAATGCAATATAAGAAACTACAATTGCACAAATAAAATAAACTAATAAAGCATATAAATCATTAAAAAACATTTTGAATTTATATATCTAAAAACGGAATAAGCAGGATTCGAACCCACATCTGCTAGAGTGACAACCTAGTATTTTAACCATTAAAACTATTACTCCAAATATATTTTATATATATAGGTTTAATAGGACTCGAACCTATAACTTCACAGTTATGAGCAGCACATTCTAACCAATTGAATTATAAACCTAATTTTTATGTTTATTACAAGACTTGAACTTGTACTCCAAAGGAAATAGATTTTAAGTCTATCGTGTCTACCATTTCCACCAAATAAACAAATATATTATAAATATAAAAATCTAAATTAATTATGATTCTCAATTTTATTGATATTTTTAATTATTTTTATAATTTTAAACAATTCGATTTTTTTTTCAAAGAGCGAGTTATATATTATATTTAATAGATTTAATATTTATAATATAACTCTCTAAATAGGACTCGAACCTATAACAACATGATTAACAGTCATGTGTTCTAACCCTTGAACTATTAGAGATTTTTTTCTTTTTGTACCAAATTTAGAACGAGAGTTTTTTTGAGTTGATACACCACTACAATCATAAACTCCACGTATTATTTTATAATGTACACCTGGTAAATCTTTACGTTTACCTCCTTGAACTAATACAAAAGAATGTTCTTGTAAATTATGTCCAATACCAGGTATATAACTTGTAATTACATATTGATTTCTAAGTTTTACTTTAGCTACTTTTCTACGAGCTGAATTTGGTTTTTTAGGATTTTTTATAAAAACACTTAAACATATACCTTTTTTTTGTGGATTTTTGCATAATGCTGACATTTTATTCAAATTATTTTTATTATTTTTTAATCTATAATTTAAAACTTGATTTAAAGTAGCCATTTTTTATATTAAGTTTATTTTTAATTTTCAAAATCAAGAGAAAAGGGACTCGAACCCTTAAATTTGGTTTTGGAGACCAACATTTTACCTTTAAATTATACTCTTAGTTTATTTTATTGCCATTTATAATTTATATTATTTTTTAATTTTAAAAAATTAATGTTTTGTAATTTATAAGAATTATAAGTATTACTAGTTTTAAATAATGACATTAAAATTTCTTGACTTAAATTATAACTTAAACTATTTAATTTATTTTTTTTAGATTTTAAAGTTGATTGTTTTAAAATAGTTAAAATTGCTTTAACTTTTTTTTTTAAAGGTAAAAATAAAATATGTTGTTTTAATTTTCTAAAAAAAATAATTTTTTCAATATAAAATAAAGGTTCAATGATTTCAAAAATACTTTTAATAATTTTAATATTATTTTTATTATTTTTATGTAAAAAATACATAACATTATCAAAAATACTGAATGAATTATATTTTTTACCATCAATCAAAAATTGATTAATAAATTTATTATGTATTTTTTTAAAATTCATACTATATGTATATTTAGGATTATTTATTTTTCTCATATTTTATATATTTTTATTAATTGAACATCTCTTGCAAGAATCGAACTTGCTCCAATACCGTGAAAGGGTAATGTCCTAACCAGTAGACTAAAAAGATTTATAATGTCTCGAAATGGAATTGAACCACTACATAAGGTTTTTCAGACCTTCACTCTAACCATTTGAGTTATCGAAACTTAATAAAATATTATTTATATATTTAAATAATATTTTACTTTTAGTACATATATAATAAATTAAAGTTATCAATTAAAATATTACCTCTAACTCTATAAGAAACTAATAATAAAGATAAACCTATAGAAGTTTCAGCAGCTGCAATTGTTAAAATAAATATAGTAAAAATTTGACCTATAATATCATCTAAATATATAGAGAATACAATAAACATAATATTTACAGATAATAACATTAATTCAATTGCAATCAAAATAATTAAAATACTTTTTTTATTAAAAATTAAACCAAAAAAACTAATCATAAAAATAATGACAGAAATTAAAAGATATTTAATTAAAAACATAATGTATTAGGTAAACAATTAAATGTAATTAAAAGGCCAGCTATAAATATAAACCAACCAAAGCATAAAGGCAATAAAGATTTCCAACCAATTCTCATTAATTGATCATAACGGAATCTAACATAAGCACCACGAACTATTACATAGAAAGAAATAAAAACACAAATTTTTAAACTTAACCATATAACACCTGGAATAAAAGTTAAATTAAATAAAGGTAACCAACCACCACAGAATAAAATACTAATAACAGTACTCATTACGATAATATTACCATATTCACCTATAAAGAATAAAGCAAAACCCATAGCAGAATATTCAGTATTAAAACCAGAAACTAATTCACCTTCTGCTTCAGGTAAATCAAAAGGATGTCTGTTACATTCAGCTAATAATGCAATTAAAAAAATAATAAATAATGGGAATAATGGAATACAGAACCAAATATATTTTTGAGCTAATATTATTTTAGTAAAATTTAAAGAACCTGTACATAAAAATATTATTGCAAAAATAGTACCAATAGATAATTCATAAGATATCATTTGCGCAGCAGAACGCATAGAACCCATAAAAGGATATTTAGTATTACTTGCCCAACCAGAAATAATAATACCATAAATAGCTACAGAAGAAATAGCATAAAAATATAAAACACCTACATTAAAATCAGTATAAGTTATACCTTTTGATAATGGTAAAATTGCCCAATACATCATAGTACCTACAAAAGTAATAACTGGAGCTAATATAAATAAAAAAGTATTAACATTAGTAGGTAAAATAATTTCTTTTAACATTAATTTTAAACCATCAGCTAAAGGTTGTAAAAAACCAGAAACACCAACTACATTTGGACCTTTTCTACGTTGAATACTACCTAAAATTTCACGTTCAACTAATGTCATATAAGCAACACCTATAAGAACAGGTAAGATTATAAATAAATATTCAATAATTAAAATTAAAGTTTTCATTTATAAAAATAATTAATAATTAAATCTTTTAACTAATGTTTTATTACAATTAGACATAACTTGTGAAGACATACTAATATTATCATTTTTATAAAAATTATATAAAGTAGAATTTATTGTATAATTTTTTAAAATATTATTTTTAATTTTAATATTATTAAATAAATTTAAATTATCTTTAATACTGTATTCATCTCTTAATAATGCAGGATTTAATTTATAAATAACTTGATCACTAATAATATTTTTAAATTTTGAGCAATAAGAATTAAATAATGCTCCAAAAATACCATAAATAATCATAATATTATCTTTAACATCAATATTATCATCATAAACTACTTCTTTAATTTTTAAAATATCACCTTCAATATTAACAAAAGAACCAATTTCTTGAAGATATGGTTTAGAAGGTAAAATAACTTTTGCATAACTTATAGCATTTTTAGATGCATGATGACCTTGATAAATTATATATTTATTACCTAAATTAATATTTTTAAATAAATTATCAAAAGTATTATCTGCATTTAATAAATATAAAGTATTTAATTTATTTAAATTTGTTTCTTTATATTTAGTTTGAATATTTAAAAATAATTTATTATATAAATCAATATTAGGATAAATATAATTAAAATTATTTTTAGAAATAGATGGAATATTTTGAATTAAAATTCTTTTAACATTTTCAAAGAAATTATATAAAGATTCATTTTTAAATAAACTAATATTTATTAAAAATAAAGGATTATGTTTTTTACATAAAACTTTACAGAAAGGACTATTACCTTCAATGAATTTTATAATAGATTTTAAAGTATAACCATAAAAATAAGTAGGATACATTAAATTTTGTCTAGCACCAAAACTAACAATAGGTAATGCAGTAGCTAAATATTGTTTTCTTAATCTTAAATTTAAAACAGGTAATTCAGATTTTAAATTAGAACCAAAAATTAAACAAGCATCAGCATTACTAACAGATGTAACTTTAGAATTAAAAATATAATTAGAATTTAAATCATTATTAATATATAATGTATCTTGTACACTATATTTGTTAGAATTACCAATAATATCCATAAATTTAGAAGCAGTAAAAATAGTTTCATTATTTAATAATTCACCAAAATAACAACCAAAATTAGTTAAATCAATTAATTTATTAGCTAAATCATTTTTTAATCTAAAGAATATTTCAGTCCAACTTACTTCAACTAAAGAACGATCAATATTTTGATATAATGGTTTTAATAATCTTTGTTTATATAAACCATCAAAAACATAACGGATTTTATCAGAAATCCAATTAACATTTAAATCATAATTAATTCTAGGAGTTACTTTAGAAATTACAGCACCATTATAATGTAATGTAATAAAAGAACCTAAACTATCTAAAGCATCAAAAGAATTAAATTTAGTTAAATTCCAAGGTCTTGCTGTAAATGCATTAGGTTTTGAAGTTAAAGCACCTACAGGACATAAATCTATAACATTACCAGAAACTTCACAATCAGAAAAATTAGTTTCAACATATGAACTAATTTCAGATTGAATACCTCTACCTATGACACCTACAAGAGTACTACCAATAACTTCACTAAAGAAACGAGTACATCTTGTACAATTGATACAACGATTCATTACAGTTTTTACAATAGCACCTCTTTCTTTATTTAAAATAGCTTTTTTAAAAGAGAAAGTATGACGAGATCTATCAGTACCATAATTATAACTATAATCTTGTAAATCGCATTCACCACCTTGATCACAAGAAGGACAATCCATTGGGTGATTGATCAATAAAAATTCTAAAACATCTTGACGTAATCTTCTGACTCTAGAACTATTATAATCTACAGTATCATTAGGACGAACACTAGTTGCACATAAAGGAGATGGTTTTCTATCGGCACCTATGATACCTAAACAGAGTCTACAGTTACCAGAAACAGGTAATTGATTATGGTAACATAAATGGGGTATTCTTATATTAAGTGAAAGTAAAACTTCTATGTAAGTATAGTTGTTCAATTTATTGGAATCTAAAAAAGATTTATTTATTTTAATAAAATTAGCAGGGGAATCAATAGTATTATTAACAGAAATCATTGTTTTATTATTCATCATTGTATATGTATATATATGTATTTATAAGTTTTGTATTATAATAATATATTTAAATGTATATTTATTAAATTGAATCCAAGTCAAATATATAAATATGATAAACCTTATCTTTACTTTATTTATTTTATTTTTCTAACTTTACTTTATAGTTTCAGTTTATTTATTAAGTATTGAGTGCCTCCATATTTATATTATATAATAGTTATATATTTACAAACTCATTAATAATTAAAAATACAATAATCTAAAAATTATTATTCATTTAATTAAAGTTTATATAATACACTATTAATTTTGTACATAATATTCAAAATTCTTTTAATACAATAATATAAAGAAATAAAAAATATATTAAAATTTTTTATTTTCTTATATTATATAAACTAGACGCCGATAAATGTTAAACACTATATTCTCAATTGATTTATTATTCTTAATACCTGAATTATTTTTTATTTTCTCTATAATTGTTATATTAGTATATGGTATATTTATTTCTAACAAATATACTTTACTAAATAATAAAAAATATAACACTCCTATAATTACAAGTATTGTTAATAATTTAACAATTTTCTCATTTGTAATTTTAATTATATTATATTATTTAAATTTAAATAATTTTAGAATTTTATTTTTAGGTCAATATACAATTGCTTATTATACTCAAATTGGTAAAATTTTAATTTTATTTATTGCTATTTTATGTTCTTTAACTTTTAATAATTATTTAAAAAATAATCAAATAAATAATTATGAATATTTAACATTAATTCAAGTATCCATATTAAGTATTTGTTTATTATTAAATACTAATGATTTATTACATTATTATGTAGTTATTGAACTTCAAAGTTTATGTTTTTATGCTATCACTGCTTTAAAAAAAAATAATATATATTCTTCAGAAGCTGGTCTTAAATATTTTATTTTAGGTTCCGTAATTTCTGGTTTATTATTATTAGGTATAGCTTTATTATATGGTATGACAGGTTTAACTAATTTAAAAGAATTATCAATTTTCTTATTAACTACTAAATATAATAAATTAATTATTTTTAGTTTTGTATTAATATATGTAAGTTTATTATTCAAATTAACTGTTGTACCTTTTAATGTATGGGCTCCTGATGTATATGAAGGTACTCCAAGTATTATTACTTTATTCTTTAATTCTGTACCTAAATTTTCTTTATTAGTAATTTTAATTAAATTTTTAGATATTGTTTTCTATAATTTCATTGAAATTTGGCAAATACTTATGATTATAAATATAATTTTATCTTTAGTAGTTGCTACATTTAATGCTTTCAAACAATATAAAATTAAACGTTTTTTAATTTTTAGTTCTATGACACATATTGGTTATATATTATTAGGTATAACCACTGGTACTATTGAAGGTATTCAAAGTATTTTTGTTTATTTTATTATTTATGTAATCTCTATTTTAAATATTTGGAGTATTTATATATATTTTAATAATAAAATTAAATATCTTTCTGATTTATCATATATATATAAATATAACAAAACTTTAGGTATGAGTTTCATTATTACAATGTTCTCTATGGCAGGTGTTCCTCCAATGGCTGGTTTCTTAGCTAAATTCTATTCTTTCTTTGTTTGTATTGAAAATAATTTTTATTTATTAGCAACTATTGGTGTATTATTAAGTATTATTTGTACTTTTTATTATATCAGATTCTTAAAAATTATTTATTTTGAAAATACAAAAAAATATATAACTTTAAATATTAACTTAAGCAAAAATGTTGCTTTTGTTATTAGTTTAACTAGTATTTTATTAATTTACATATTTATAAATCCATCTTCCATTTTTATTCTTGCACATAAAGCTGCATTAAGTTTATGTATATAATAAAAGATAATATAACTATTAATATTTATTTACAAAGTTCTGATAAAATAACATTTACAAATTACCAAAATAAATTGAAATCTTTATTAAAAATTTATAATATAAAAAATTATAGTATAATAAATCTTCCAAAAAAAATTAAACGTTATACTATATTAAGATCTCCACATGTTTATAAAAAATCATTAGAAACATATGAAGAAATTATTTATACAACTAATTATAGATTTACTATAAAAAATAAAGCTACTTATTCTTCTATTTTTTATATTATTAAATTTTTAAAATATAATATTCCTTCAAATATAAATATAACTTTTAAATTGAAAAATAATGTCAAAACAAATTTATTACAATAATATCAAACTTTATATCAACTATAGTAAATCTATATTAAATATGTTACCTAATTATATACAAGCCTCTATATATTCAAACAGAGAACTTACTTTTATTATTGAAAAACAATATAATTTAACTGTTTTAAATTTTTTAAAAAAATATACTAATGGCCAATTTAAAACAATGTCTGATATGTGTGCAGTAGATTACCCATATAAAAAATATCGTTTTGAAATAATTTATACTTTATTAAGTTTAGTTTTTAATTCAAGAGTAAAAATTAAAACTTATTTAAATGAATTAGATGATATTGAATCTATTACATCATTATACTCTGGTGCTAATTGGTGGGAACGTGAAATTTATGATTTTTTTGGTATTTATTTTAAAAATAATAAAGATTTACGTCGTATTTTAACTGATTATGGTTTTAAAGGTCATCCTCTTAGAAAAGATTTCCCATTATTAGGTTATTATGAATTAGTATATGATGATTCTGAAAAATGTATTAAACGTACAGCTATTGAATATTCTCCTAAATTTAAATCTTATTATAATTATGATAATTTTTATTCATTTTAGATAATTAATGAAAGTTAGAATTGAAAATAAATATATTAATAATAATTTAAATTCAAAATATGTAAAAATTAATCAATTATATGTAAAAAAAAAAATAATAAACAATAAAATTTTACAAAAAGATGCTGAAGATTTAAAATCTAATTTTATTAAATTTGATGCACGTTTAAATGTTACTCCTTATATCAATAGATATCACAATAAATATTTTAAAAAAAGAAGTTCTGAATTATCACCAAAAAATTATAAGGATGGTAATAAAAAATTTAATCCAAACATTGAATTTAAAAAAGCTCCAATTTTATTTTATACAAAACATTCTAATTTTACATATAATAAATTAAAAAAACATCATTTAAAATTATATCCTTTAAATTTTCAAAAAAAAGATGAACTTAATACATATAAATTTATAAAATATAAAGAATCAATTAATACTAAAAATAATACTATAAAAATTTATATAAAAAAAACAAAAAATAACTTATTTGTTACTATATTTACAAATAAAAATATACATACAAAAACAATAACAACACTTGGTTTTAAAGGTAGATCTAAACAATCTCAATTTGCTTATAAAATGTTTGGAGAAACTATAATAGAATATTTACAAAATTTAAAACAAACTGATAAAAATTTAACAAAATTAAATATTTATTTTAGAAATCATTATAGCAGACGTTTAAAACCTATTATTAAAAATATAAATAAAGTTATAAAAATAAATAATATATTTAATATAACTCCTATACCTTTCAATGGTTGTAGAAAACGTAAAATATCAATTAAAAAAAAAAGAAAATCAATTGTAAAATTATTATCTTATTAATTTTTTAATTGAAGGTTTTTATAAAATGTATTTTATTATAAAAACCTTAAGGTTTTAATATAGCTAAGTTAATTGCAATTTTAAATTTAAAAAATAAACAAATAAAACAACATGTATTTACTCGTAATATTTATACCATTATTATCAACTATTGTTACTGGTTTTTTCGGAAATTTATTAACTAAAGAAGGTACCACTCGTATTGCTAGTGGTTTTATTTTATTAACTTGTATAATCAGTTACTTTATTTTTTATGAAGTATGTTTTTGTGACTGTCCTTGTTATATAACATTAAGTCCTTGGATTATTGCAGGTTCTTTTAAATTATATTGGGATTTTATATTTGATAGCTTAACTGCAACAATGTTAGTAGTTGTTTTAACTATTTCTACTGTTGTTCATATTTATTCTATAAGTTATATGTCTCATGATCCTCATATAAATCGTTTTATGTCTTATTTATCTTTATTCACTTTCTTTATGATTGTCTTAGTTACAGCTAACAATTATATTCAAATGTTCGTAGGTTGGGAAGGTGTCGGTTTATGTTCCTATTTATTAATTAATTTTTGGTATACTAGAATTCAAGCTAATAAAGCTGCTATTAAAGCTATGTTAGTAAATAGAGTAGGTGATATCAATATTATTTTTGCTATTGTAACTATTTTCTATGTTTTTAAATCTGTAGATTATTCTACTGTATTTGCTTTAGCTTATAATTTTGTAAACTCTACTATTAATATATTTAATTATGATATCAGTGTATTAAATTTAATTTGTATTTTCATTTTTATAGGTGCTGTTGGTAAATCTGCTCAAGTTGGTTTACATGTATGGTTACCTGATGCTATGGAAGGTCCTACACCTGTTTCTGCATTAATTCATGCTGCTACCATGGTTACTGCTGGTGTTTTTGTTATTTGTAGAAGCTCTTTTATTTTTGAATATGCTCCTACTGCTTTAACTATTGTTACAATTGTTGGTGCTATAACTGCTTTTTATTCTGCTTCTATAGGTTTAGTACAAAACGATTTAAAAAAAGTTATTGCATATTCTACTTGTAGCCAATTAGGTTATATGGTTTTTGCTTGTGGTATTTCTGGTTATAATGTAAGTATGTATCATTTAGCAAATCATGCTTTCTTTAAAGCATTATTATTCTTAAGTGCAGGTTCTGTTATACATTCTATGCATGATGAACAAGATATGCGTAAAATGGGTGGTTTATTAAAAATTTTACCATTTACTTATGCAATGTTCTTAATAGGTTCTTTTGCATTATTAGGTGTACCATTCTTATCTGGTTATTATTCTAAAGATTTAATCTTAGAATTATCTTTTGCAACTTATTCTATTTCTGGTCATTTTGCTTATATTTTAGGTACATTAGCTGCATTCTTTACTGCTTTCTATTCTGTAAGATTACTTATTTTAACTTTTATAACTAAAACAAATGCTTATAAACAAATAATAAACAAAGCTCATGATGCTCCATTATTATTAGGTTTACCATTATTTATTTTATCTATATTTAGTATATTTGTAGGTTATTTCACAAAAGATATGGCTGTAGGTTTAGGTTCTACTTTCTGGGGTAATGCTTTAAATATTACTTTTGAAAATAATAATTTAATCGAAGCTGAATTCTTACCTTTTGTAATTAAAATTTTACCAATTGTATCTGCAACTCTTGGTTTAATTTTAGCATGTTATATTTATACTTATTTAACTAAATATTTAAATAATTTAATAAATAATAATTTATTTAGAAATATTTATTTATTCTTAAATAAAAAATGGTTCCTTGATAAATTATATTCTGAAGTAATTTATCAAAAAATATTATTTATTAGTTATAATCCTTTATATGCTGTATTTGATAAAGGTATTTACAACATATTAGGTCCTAGAGTTTTAAATGATATCTTAGAAAAATTAAGTAAAAATACTGCAGAAATACAAACTGGTTTCTTCTATCATTATGCTTTAATTTTTTTAGTAAGTTTAACATTACTTATAATTTTAAGTAGTTTAGATTTCTTTAATTTATTAATTATATTATTTGTATTATTCTTTTTTGTTTTTAAAAATTATAATAAAAAATAATATAATTAATAAATTAGGGCAATATTTTTATATAGTTAATATATTGAATAATTTTATATAAAATATAATTTATATAAATTCAATAAAAATATATTATCAAAGATACTTGTACTATTTTTAAAATTAAAAATTAAAATCATATCAAAGCAAGGTAATACATTTTTAAAAAAAGGATTTATTAATACTTTTTCAAAATAATAATGATTACTTTTTACTAAACTTAAAATATAATTATTATTATTATCAAAAGATTTAATTTTTATATTATTTTGAATTTCAGGTTGATTTATAAAATTATTTATTAAAAAACCAAAAAATTTATACATTAATTCATGTTTTAATATTATTTTTAATCCTATTATTTTTTTACTACGTTTATTAGTTATAATAATAAAACCATTTTGAAAAGTTAAATGTTTAAATAAAAAAAAAATACAAAGAATATTAAATTTATTATTTAAATCTTTTTTAAATTTAATGTTTAATTTAATATCATTTAATTTACTATATTTATAACTATTAGAATGATTAATTTTCAAATATCTATTATGATTTATATTATGAATATATGTTGAAACCATTTTTATAAAATATTAATAGCGTTCATATTTAATTTAATTGAATAAATACGAAATTCTTTTAATACAAGACCTGTTACTGTGGAACCAATTACATTTATTTTATTACGATTTTTTTTATTTTTAAAATTAATATTATCAATTAATATACAACCATTGGTTTCAAATAATATTTTTTGACCATTAAATCTTGGTAAATTATAACGAGATTTTAAAATTAATGCATTATAGATTTGACCTTTTTTAATTGAAGTTTTTCTATGAAGTTTTAATTCTTTTACAGAAACTTTAACAATAGCATTTAATTTATTATTATTTTTATATTTTAAATTTTTGAAACATTTAACAATACTAGCACCACTATTATCATAAACTTTTAATTTACTACAATTTTGAATCATTTTCTATTATTTATTTATTTAAAAAATATTGTTTACTATTACTAATACTATTAAAAACAAAATATATTAACATAACATTAATATATAAAGAATTATTATTAATAATTAAATAATAAAACATATTATTTACAATATTTCTGCTTAAAAAATCAGTAAAACAAATAACTGGAACATTAAAGTGAGCTAATTTCATTAAAAAATACATATTAGCTTTATAATCAAAACTAATAACTAAATCTGGAAATTTTTTTAAAGATTTTACTAAATTATCTTGTGGATTATTTTCAGATTCTAATAAAAAATTTACTTTTAATTTTTTGCAATTAATTTGTAATAAATTATTTAATACTTTATTACTTGTGTGTAAAACTAAAATATTACCATTTTTTGAAGATATTTTAGCAATTAAAGATAAAATTTTTTTTAAATTTTTAATTAATGTATTTATATTTAATATTAAATAATTATATTTATAACCTATAAATAAAAATTCAGATATAAAATCAGAATTTGTTTTATTTTTTAAATATAAACATAAGATAAAAAAATATTTATTTCTTAAAATACTTAAATGAGAATTGTTTAAAATTTGATTATTATTGAGCATTTTTGCTATTATTTTTTTTTTTTAAAGTTATAAATTCATCACTATAAAAAATACCAGTACCTTTATAATAATTTGTTTTTTTATATAATTTTAAACGTGCTGCAATTTTAGTCAAAATAATTTTATTATTACTATATAAACAAAGAGTAGTTGGATTTTTAATCATCATATAAACATCAGGATCAATATAATATTGAATATAATGGCTATAGCCAACTCTAATTTTTAAAATATTATTTTCTATAATAAATTTATAGCCAACACCTTTTAAAATTATAGTTAAATTATAATTATAAACTAAATAATAAATACCATAATATAAAGTTGCTAAATAAATATTATAATAATTTAATAATTTTTTATTACTTTTTTCAAAATTATATAAATAAAATTTATTAATGTAATATAAATTTAAATTATTATAAATATTTTTGTATTTTAATAAATTTAAATATAAATTATTATCTTTTATAAACATATTAAAAAAATTAGTATTAAATTTTATAATACCATTTTTATTAATAATAATTACATATTTATTAGTTAAAATTATACGTATATTTTTAAATTTATTTAATTGAAGTTTGTACATTTTTTATCGATTTTTTATAACTTTTAATAATAAAAGACCACCTTTATTTAAACGAATTGCATCATCAATAGTTACTATAGCAGTTTTATTATGATCAATAGATAATATATAATCATTAAACATATCCATAGATCTTAATTTAATTAAATCATTTTTACTATAATAAATATATTTACTAGGTTTAGTTATACAAATAATTTTAGTAAAATAATTTACATAAGTATATAAATATATTTTACATTCGGTAAAAGAATTATTAATAATAAAAGATTCAATTACATTTAAATTTTGTAAAATTTTTAAAACATTTAAACTTAAATTATTGAATCTTTTAATAATAACTTTAGATTTTTTATGCATTATAGCATTATTTATAGAATTTATAATATAAATTAAAGTGAGCATTTAATAATTTTACCAACTAGATTTTTTAATATTAGGAATTTGATGATAAATCATTAATTTTTTAAAATCAGTTCTAGATATACCATATTTTGTAAAAATAGCTCTAGTACGACCTGATAAAAAACTAATATCTTTATGATATACTTTATAATTATATCTATTTTTTAAAATATCTTGATATTGTACTAAAATTAAATATATCAATTTTTTTTCAATCATAATATTTTTTACATTAAATAAATTATGTATTATTAATAATTTTAAATAATTTCTTGAATAATTTTGACAAATTCTTTTATCTCTATTTCTTTTGTTTTTATTTACAAATAAAAAATTCATATTATTACTAATTTATACTTACTATATTAAAATTTAAACTTACTTTAATATAATGGAAATAACAGGAATCGAACCTGTTTCTTATGAATGCAAATCATATATTTTACCATTTAAATTATACCTCCAAAAGATTAGAAATGGAATCGAACCAATTTAAAGAAATTTGCAGTTTCTCACATTAACCATTTATGTTATCTAATCCAAATATATCTAATTGGACTTGAACCAATGACTTTACGCTTATCAGGCGTATACTCTAACCAACTGAGTTATAGATATGATATTAGGGTAAATAATAGGAATCGAACCTAAACAAGTCAAAACCACAATTTGATACTAAAACCATTTAGTTTTTATTCACCTGTTGATTAATATTTTATATATTAATTAATTGTTTTTATTTATAAAAACGTTTAATAAGTATAAAATAATTAATCAAAATTTTTAAATTTCTATTATATTTAAAATTATTATATAACATATTATCATATATTTTAAAATTAAATAATTTTGAATATAATAAATTATAATATAATTGTTTAATATAATTTTCATTGTAAGTTTTAATATTTAAATTTTTAGAGATTAATTTATCTAAAATATAAGAATATTCTCTAAAAATATAATTATTAAATAAATATTTAATTAATTTATATTTTTTATAATGAACAGAATAATAAATATATATTTTATAAATATTATTAACATTATTATAAATACTTTTTTTAGAAAAATTATATAATTTATATTTAATATTAGTATGATTATATTTTTTTAATTTTATAAAATAAAAACCATATCTATATTTAAATTGACGACGTCTTCTTCTTACATAAATTTTAAATTTTTTATTACGTTTTGAAGATTTTATATAATTTTTTGATTTATAATAATTATAAATATATTTTGAATTATTTTGAGAAGCTATATAAGTACGATGATTATATATATAAGTAAATTTATTAATTATAGAATTTGCTTTTAATTTATCAATACTTCTATATTTACCAATATTATTATAATCTTTATTATTCAAAATAAAAGTATAAAATTTAATTTTAGATTTTTTATGATTATTTTTAATTTTAAAGTTATGTTTAATATTAGGTTGTAATTTAATATTAATATCATTTTTATAATTTCGATATAAATTAAATTTATTTATTTTAGTATAATTTATTGAATTATATAATTTATTTAATTTACGTACATTAAAATTAATAAATAAATCAATAAAAAATAAATTATCATTGAATTTCATATTAGAATCAATAATATTTAAGTTAGATATATAATTATTTTTAGATTTATTTTGTAAAACATTTTTATTATTTCTATATAAATATTTTTTAATACGTTTAAAACGATAATATTTTTCACGTATAAATAATTGTTTATAAATAGATTTAATATTAGTATTTTTATAAGAATAAGTTATTAAATATTTACGAATATTACTTTGTAAGCTTAGCTGTATGTA